ATCGATCTATCTACTAGCGACAGAGCGAGCGATACGAGCATATCTACGAGCTAGCGAGCACGGGAGCGAGCGAGCGAGCGAGCGAGCGACCTAGCGAATCATCTAGCGAGCGATCAGCATCGAGCTAGCGAGCATCTACGAGCGAGCTACGAGCTAGGATCTACGAGCTAGCTAATCTAGACGAGGAGCGAGCGATCTAGCAAAGCTAGGAAGCATTCTAGCTATCGACGAGCACTATCGAGGATCTATCAGCTATCTATCATCTAGCTATCATCTTATCGATCTATCATCTATCTAATCCTATCTATCTATCATCTATCATCTACTATCTTTCTATCTATCTATCTATCTATCTATCTATCTATCTATCTATCTATCTATCTATCTATCTATCTATCTATCTATCTATCTATCTATCTATCTATCTATCTATCTATCTATCTATCTATCTATCTATCTACCTATCTATCTATCTATCTATCTATCTATCTATCTATCTATCTATCTATCTATCTATCTATCTATCTATCTATCTATCTATCTATCTATCTAACTGAATATAGGTGCATTTTTATTGGCACATGCCTCGTAAGTAACTGTATTAGTATTATTAAGATTCTACTCAAGAGGTCTCATTCACAAAACTTCAAAATAAAAAGGATTTGTACCTCCTTTATAAATAACAGTTAAACTAACACTTATGTGCCACATGTCCATCGCAATTTTAGATCTTAAAATAAATTATAGATATTAATGTATAACGACCTCCTACGATAATTTTGTTATTTGTTTTCTCATAACCATCTGCAATCTTATCAAATTACTGCTTTGTTTTGTTTGTGAAAATTCAATACAAGTATCAACATAAAAACAAATATTTTTTTATAAAAACTTTAAAACATTCTTAGAATGACCCTGAACTAAAAAAGTGTCAACAGGCGCTAACGAAAAGTTTAAAATACAAAGATACGATACGAACATTTTAAACATAAAAGAAATCAATAAATAAAATTTATTTGATTTTAAGAAAATTTATTTGTTTATTTGGCAGTAAATATGGTTGATTTTATAATGGAAAGAAGGTGACCAGAGATTTATTAAAAAATTATTACATCCACAGATATCTCACTACCATATTACAATCTACACGGGAATTCTCAAATCTTATAAGTCGGAATAAAATATTATTTTGATATTTTTGAATGATCCAAAAATCAAAATAGTGGTTCTTATATATCGAGATTTTCAAAGTGATAAACTTTGAAACGATGTAAATCAACCAAGGTACATTTTCCGAAAGATTAGGCCTTCCATCCAGATTCTTATGTACTACGTTTTGCAATCAACTATTGATAACCGCTTTGTTTTACATTGAAAATATTCCCAAATTACCTAATTGTTTACAATTTTCCATTAAGTAAATGTAAATTAAGCAATTACAAAACAACTTAAAAACCATTTATTTTTATTGAAGGGTCTCTCATCATAAACTTAATTATTGAAAGAACAAATATTGTGAATTTTGTTTTCAAATGGCCAGTTTTCGCTTGTTTTTTGTCTGTCTGTCGTTTGGTTGGAAAACGTGATCACATTTGTGTGGTTACATTCTTGTTTATTATACTTAATGTCAGAGAACCAGAACAAGTATGAATATTGTGTTTTTATATAAAGTCAAAAATGAGATTATTATACAAATGGTCACGTAGCCAAACAATACGTATTCTAAAAAGATATGTTCACACACTTTGAAATTAATTCTACCTGACTACAAGTACGAATACGAGTAGTTAGGTTGTCTGACAGTTAGTTGTTACATCTGTAACGAAGATTAGAATTAGTGATTATACAATTTGTTATTTCGTTTTTGGTTTTTATTTACATTTTATATGTTTGTTTAACAATTAAATACAAAAATAAGCAAATAAACATGAAAATACAAAAACATTTGTGTTTCTGATGAAAACAACAGAAAATAAATAAACATTAAACGGGTTAGAAATTTATCTGGAATAAAATAAACCCTTGAGAATAATACCAAACATAAGATTGCTAAATAGGAAATATTTTTTGTTTTTTTTTTCACAATATTCTAATTAAAAGATGTACATATTTACTTGTCTTATTTAAATTATGTATTTAAATAGTTGTTGTTTTTAATAAACTGGACAGTTTAGATCAATAAATAAGCAGATTTTTGTTTCAAAAAGTAGTATCGAAAGCAATCGCTATAAATAAAAACAAATGTATCTTAAATGCAAAAAATTTTGATTCCAACGTGTTGAGTACGACAGCGGACTAACGAACACGAGGCTTAGATTCGTATTCTGTTTAGTGCGTTCTCCTTATTTGTAATGCTTTATTTAAGTACTTATTTGTAAGCGCCGTGTTAAGTTGAAATACCAATGAATAGTTTTTAACCAGGAACTGTAAATAACGGTTATTCTGAAATTTTTAACCCAAAAAATCTCTATGTTGGAGTCAACGTAGACCTATACTATTATATACCAATATACTCGTATTGCTGTACTTTTTCATAATATATGGTGATTTAAAAAAAACGATCTTTGCTCCACAAATAACAGTTATTTTTTAACGGAAAAATAAAAGTCTGATTGAAACAGTTAAAAAATGAGTTTTATTTTTCATTCATAAAATAAGAATTATTTGAAGGAGTTTTATTTTTTCCCCGTCAAAAAATCAAACAATGTTTTTATATATTTTTTCAGTATCCTATTTTATTGAGTTTATCTGACCAAGTCCATTAAATAGTTGATTTGAACTGACGTTGAAAACATCTGAATCAAAAACGGCAAATGGTAATTTTCTGTTATGACTGAACACAAGCTTTTTTAATTTCTTCGGAAGGCATTATTATTGAAAATGAGTTTTATTTTCTGACGAAAAAAATAAAAGTCCTCAAATAATTTTTATTTTAGGACGGAAAAATACAACTCTTTTTTTAAAAGTTTCATTTGAATTTTTATTTTTAGGTTGTAAAATAACTTTTTCAGATGGATTTTTATTTTTAAAGTCACAAAATAACTGTTATAAACTGACTTTTTTAATATAACTTATAACTGTTACGGTCCCTGTTTTTAACCTATTAGATTTTTAACTTTAGTATGTATGTTTTTAGCTGATATATCAAGTTGAGAAAAAAGTCTAAACTTCACTTGCATCTGATATTTCTTGAATGGTAAAATTGGCTTCACAATTTGAAACGTCAATCTGTTATTTTATCATTAAAATATCGGTTGCAATTTATTGAATTTTATTATAAAAATTTCTCAAAACGACAATATCGGTTGAAGACAGGTTAGAACAGCTTCGGACCAATGCGAAAATTTTGTTTATTTCGGCCAAGTTATATGTTTTATACCGAATCTTCCGTGACAGTCATTCACATTCCATAAGAAATGGTATTTCATTGAAAAAACAATAAGGTCCACTTCATGTTAGAACTAGAATCTCTGCGTAAACCTAAGAAATCTGATATGGAACAAAAATTTACTCATATGTTAAAACTAGAAACGATTCGTACCCCTGTTATTGTGTATTTCAAAAGGCAACTTTTCTAAATGGAATAAAGTCCATAAAGTATAAACAAATGTTCGGGATTTTGTACTAAAAAATTTTCTTATATTAACCAATTTTTCAAAATCTGTTCATAGAAAAAAAAACCCAAACATAATGGACACGTTTATCCATTAAATTTAACCCAGTTGTGTTAATTAAATATGTATACATATTTAAAAATACACAGCTTTTTTTGGCATAACAATATTTGTTTAAAAAATTTTCAAAAAAAAATAAATATTAATTTAAAACTTGTTACAGTTCAAAAGATAAATTAATACAAATTCTTACTCATCTCATTTTATTGTTGATATTTCTAATTTAGAAAATTAAATATGTAGACAGCTGCTTAAGAAAGTACACTACGGAGTACTGCACAGTTATCATTTGAATACAGAAACAATGAAATAGTTAATTAAATTAATTACACAAGATATTCAAACAAATTGGAAGAATTTTATTTTACTTATTTGTAAGAAAAATTAATACGAGTTTCAACACAGAACTTTTCAATAACTTTATTAAACTTTTAGTTTAAATTTAAAGTGACGATTTGATTTCATAACAAGATATTAAAAGTTTAATCGGTTTCTACCTCCATAGAACTAGTGGTGGAACTAGTTCTTTGTATGTTACTTTCCCTCTAGATAATATACATATATTACTTCTTTTGTAAGGCACCACTTAGCGATAATAATTTCTCCACTAACTAATTTTTCAGTAGCTGAAAACATCTTTTATCTGCTAGTTAATAAAAAGTAATAATAATAAATACATACATACAAATTCTCACACATCAAGAAAAATAAATATAATTAACAACCCCATCATAATTAAAAAGATTAAATAAATTATATAAAGTAATTGAAATAAAAATAGTAACACTAAATGCGTTTTAAAATTAAACAAAAATGTTTACATTAAAAATAGAACTAAATTTTTTGATTTTATATTGAAATTTATTAAGAATGTAATTGAAATTTTGTAAACAACAGCTAAAAATAAAATCGAAAAAAAAAAATGATTTCATTTAACCTTCATGCCATGCATTTTATATACATACTTTTTTGCACGAGATATTAATATTATTGCACATTCGCAATTAAATTATAAATAATCTAAATTTGATTGCAATTGACTCACTATAATATATCAATTAGAACATTTACCTCACCCCTTTCTGTGGGAAATAATCTCACAAATGTCTTATTGAGACATATTTGTGTATATTTTTTGTATTTGCTTTGAAATAAAAGCATTTAAGTTTTTTGTTTAATATTTTTTGCAAAATTTTTCAATTATTTTATAATGGCGCCATTTTTAATAGCAATCTTTTTGTTTTAATTAACAACGCAATATAATTTCAATAATTTTTTTTAAATAACAATTTTCTTAAAGAAAGATAGTAGTGATAGATAATTTATTGGAATTTTAGAACTGTGGGTATTATATGTAAATAATTATGAACGGGTATTTTATACTTTTAAGCAATGGTTCTCTATTTCTTTCATTTCTTAAAAGGGGTAAAATTAATGATTAAACTCACTCATTACCAGGTAATGTATTAAATAACTATACATTACCTACATTACCAAAATTTTAGAATTATTAAAATAGAAACTGAAAATATTCATAAAGGATCGTATATGGTTACTAATATGGAACGATTTTCGACATAAATTAATGTATAATTTTTTGGTAAATAAAACTTAAATAGGGCTAGATAAAATCGTAGGCCGCTGTTGCTAATTTTTAATAACAAACAAGCCTTATCAGAAGACAATATTTTGAAAAATTTCCATTTTCCTGAGTCCAGTCCACGGACATGCGGTCCGTCTAAAGATCGTCTAAAGTTGTATTTTCTGACATATAGGCGATAATACCTAAAATTTGTGATGAACTCGCTATTTGATGTAAGACTAAAAACTGTTTAATACTTAATTTGGGAATGAGCTCGGACTTGTTGTATCTTTATTTTCCTAGGTCCTCTAAAAGACGGACAAGCAGACATTTCTAGATCGTCTAACGTCATATTTTCAGACTTATAAGGAATATCTTGGATTATAAGAAAGCTTTAACTGAATACTCTCCCAGAGATAAGGTTTACATCATACGGATGACAGGCCACTCGGGATTAATCGGCAACAAAAGGGCTCGAGGCACCTGACTAACGCAAAACCCATCGACGCAACGAAGGCTGAATTAAAAATAAGAGTGGGAGAAATTTAAGGAATAAGGAAACGGTGAGTAGAACCACAAAGATTAGGGTGAACCTAATGAGAGAAAAAATATCGATAGCCAGAAAGCAATTAGGGCAATATCAAGTGATAAAATTAAATCCAAAACCGTTTTGTAAGAAAGCTTTAACTGAATACTCTTCCAGATATAACGTTTACATCATATGGGTACCAGGCCAATCGGCAACGAAAGGACGAATGTATTAGCTTTAAAGGGAAGAAAGCTCGAAGCAGTTAACCTGACGAACGCAAAACCATTCGACGCAACGAAGGCTGAATTAAAAATAAGGGTGAGATAATCCCATGGAATAACGAAACAGTGAGTAGTGCTACAAAGATCCTATGGATTGACCCTAATGTATGTTAGTATGATGGTACGTATTCTGAGTGAACACACAGGATTACGGGAAAAGCTGTACAAAATTGTACTTGCGGATTCAGACAAATGTAGAGCATGTGGAGAGGACAGTAAAACTCTGAAGCACTTTATTTGCCACTGTCAGGCATTCGTCGAAGTTAGATCCAAATATCTTGGAAGTGATCCTATTCCGGATATAACATTTCGCGCGAACAGTGAATGGTTTATTATTAGGATTATGTCCAGAAAACTGAGCTTCTAAACATCGAAAGATAATTCATTCAGATAACACAATGTTTTTTTTACCAATAATCATTATCTAATAATCTAATATATTTTCCAAATAAATTAGGGAATGATCTCGTACTATTTTTAAAGGAAATTAAGAGTCAATCAACCTTATTACTTTCGTATATATTTTCTGTAGCACTGTGTAATTGTTAGTAGCAAAGTTTAAGTAAGTACATTAATAAAACATTTTACAAATGTTTTATTATCAAAAAACATTGTATAATTACTATGACTATATATAGATTAATTAACTGAATTATTCTATATGTATGAATTGTTATCAGAAAGCAAATAAAAATAAAATAACCAAATCGTGATATAATCACTAGTTTCAATTTACAAGTGTAAATAAGTAAGTCGCACGTTTTCAATTTACAGTTTAGGTATTCAGTTACGAATAAAAATAGAAAAAAAAAATATTGTAATGATTTTGAAACATCGAAGGTGTATTTTAAAAGCAACTACAATTTAGGAAACAAGTTGAACAGAGTTTATGCAAATTTGTTATACGTTACATTAAAAATACAAACAATTGATTATGGCCGCAAAAGGTTAAGAAAAATGTAAACGATGTACAGTTCATAAAAAATTCACAAATACAATTAGTAAAGAGGAATTAGTTTATAAAGATAAATTAAAGTTTTTATATATAACATTTTAAATACTTTCTGGCTATTAGTTACAATTTATCTAAATTACATTTTGTCTTAATGATATTCGAATATTTATTTAAGCAAAACTTGTTCAACAACAATGTTATTTATTGAATGAATATATCTAAATTCAAATCCTTATAATAAACTTGTTTAAATTGAAAAAAAGTATTTCAAATCTTATGGCTTTTTAAAACGACTTACATAAATACATGTACTACACATTTGAATTGCACATTAGTTTGAATATTTTAATATTTTTTTTAGCATTTTAAGATAAACCTGTTATTTCAACACTATTTACTTTTAAACTAAAAGCTGCTAACAAAAAATTTTGTATAAAATAATTTTTCATAATAAAATTATTAATATAAAATATGAAGAGATTGTAAAAAGTTTAAATAAAGAAATTGTTTAAATACAAAGAAAATGATTTTCTTTTTACACGCAAAAAACAAAGCCAGGGACAGTTTAAAAATGTCTTTGTATTTAAATACTATGGACATAGCGGAAGTCATTGTTAATACAATATCATGTAAACAGTGATAATACCAATCGGGGGACAAGCTATTTAAGATAATTAGGCAAACGTTTTAGTTCCGACAAGTTGTAAAGAGAGTAGTGTACAAAAAACGAAAATATGATTAAAAGTGGTGAATTGTCTATAAATAAGTTAATAAGTTTCGTTTAAAGAACGTGTTAAAACCAGAGCCAACCCTTTGCTTTAACATCCAGTTACAAATCCGAAAATGTCAATCTTTAAATGGAAAAAAAGTATGATTAAATTAAATTCCAACTAATGAACAAACAAAAACATAAACAATTTTATAACAATAATAATATAGATATTTGATAAAATATATACCACCTGCCAAGTAAATTTAAAAAACAAACCATTTTTTTTTCAAATTTTCTTTAAAAAATAAATTAATCACAAATTATAAACAATGTGTTTTTCAACAACAATTTCTCTTATTCTCTTTACAATTGTTTATTTATTTTAATTAAGGTCAGGGATTAATGTACGAGGTACTACTGCTGTATGGTATATAATTATTTACAAAAATAAATAAATTTATAAAATATCGCACTATTTAAGAGAAGGACGAAGATTTGGTTAACCTTGTTTACATAAATCAATAATAAATAGAAATACCATTGATTGGTTTTTAGAATAACAAATGACAAAACAATTGAAAATAAACTTTTAAACAAATTACAAACATTGAAAGTGCAATGAATTGTAAAATATGTATATAATAGTTGTAGTTGTTCTTTAAATACATGTTTATATATTTTGAAATTTAATGATAGAAAATTTACAAAAACAAATATTTTTATATAGATGGTCTAGCTGGCTGTGTAGTTAGACAACGGACAAGTAACAGATAAATAATATGAAAATGTTATTTGTTAATTCTATTATCGCCTTAATACTATGTATGTACATATATGAAAATAAATAGAAAACTATTTTTTCAAGATAAAAACATATTTATTTATATTTACATTAGTCTTACGCATACAAAGTAGATTAATCTATTCGCATAACGAGATTCTATGTCGAAAATAGTTAAAAAATTTTAAAAATTGATATTTATTTAGTAAATGGTTCAATGGTTTTGTTTACACTCGTTCAAGAACTAGTCAACTTATAGCAATAAGCATGAAATGATTACGAAACTAGCTTTATTTTAAACAATCTTTAAAATTTGTTCTGTATAACATTAAGTATTCTTTCCTTCCCAAAAACTTTGTTTAGTCTACAGTGAAAAATATATTGTTGAAAATTTAAGTAATTAATAGTTCGATGAATAAATTCATTTATATACTGCAAATGTTCACACATACAATATGTTAATGTACATACTATGTGTAAGTTCACACATTTGTGTAAATACTCGAGACAATTGAGTAGGTGGCGACTATATAGTTTATACCAGGCATGGAAAATTAAAATTTTAAAAGTATTATGGATTAAATGTGTTAATTAATTTTTGGAGTTTTGCCTATGAATTGGCCTATTGACTCGTTTATCTAAGAACTAGGTATTGACAAGTCTATGGACTTGTCTTTTAAATAGTCTATGAACAAGTCTATTGATTTAACTATGCAATAGTTACTAGTCAATTGACAAGTTAATTGACTACTAAAAGGACTAATCTCTTGACTAGTCTATGCACAATTCTATTAACTACCTATGGACTTGTAAGTGATCTAACTAATCATTTGACAATTCTATGGACTAGTATTCGAAACCTAGAGACCAAAGTCTATACATTAGGGTTATAACTAAAATTATGCCCTATCACTACGTGGTAGCCAGTAGTGTTCTTATAACGAAAACCAGTTTCTTGAGTCATTTTAGTGCAAAAACCTTTCGATGTAATAGTATACGCACAATTGGGACGAGCGACGAATTTTTCGGAACGAATATTTGCTGAAATTTTTCGGTTGTGGGTACCGCTAATGAAAATACAATATTATGTTCGAATATTCGAAATTATATTCGAAAATTCGAAGTTATGTTCGAAAAATTTTTTATGCTCTTAAAATAATCTCTGAGTCATAAAAACTAAAAATAAAATTTTCGAAAATTCGAACTTAAGTTCTCGTGGCCCGAATTGTCTGAAATTTGGCAATCTGGAGTACACTTGATGACACTACAATGCTATGTTGGAATATTTAAAATTAAGTTCGAAAATTCGATGTAATGTTCGAAAAAATTTTGAAGCTGTTAAAATAATCTCAAAATTGGGGATATTCACAAAAATAGAATTTTAGTTCTTTTCGAGGCCAATTTCTTACATTTTCTAATTTCGAAATAATGTTCGAATAAATTTTAAAGCTGTTAAAATTATCTCAAAATCGTGGAGATTCACAAAAATATAATTTTTGTTTCTTTTTCTTACTTTTTCCAATTTCGAACAAACAAATTTTGAAACGAATTCGCAGTACGAATAATTTGATTGTGTTCCATTCGACGAATTTACGCAACGAATTTTTGTCGACTAGTTCGTCGAGCTATACGAAATTCGTCGTTCGTCCCAATTGTGCGTATACCATAAATCGATTTTCTAAAAACATTAACAAACAAATTTACATAAATTTTTAATAGAACATCCACATGTTCGGGTATTAAAATTGGAAGCGGGATTACCCACAGCGCCTATTCTTGCCTTTTCAACGTATAAACGTGTATATGACAAAATTCCAATTTGGTATTAAACATTTTTTTTTGAGTAAATATTGAAAACTTTAGAGCATTTACCGCGGAAACTTTTTTAACACACCGGAAAAAGTGATATACTTTTTCGATGTATTTTTTTATAAAAAGTTATAACCCTAATATACATCCATATTTCTAAAGGATTAAACTGAAAAAAGTTTTATAGCAGCGAATACATCTTTATTTATAAAGTTTGTTATATCAACTAAAAGTTCGACTTTAAAATAAAGATTAACTTTTGTTATATCTTCTTATATCTTCGAGATTCTTTTAATACAAACCCAGCAAAAAATAATTGATGTCATACTTTACAAACTACATCTTAATCACATCTTAAAATGCGATTACATATTTTTCACTTTTATAAACCAAATATTTCCTTACAAATGAAACCCCAGTTAAAAGTGAGGAAAGAGATGTGGAAAAGTCATTACAAATAACATATTTGAAGTACATCAAGATTTGGTGAAAGAGTAGTGAAATTTACATAAGCGTGTCATTAAAAGAATGTGTTTTATTTTTGACATCCAAATATCGGATTTTTACTGCTTCTAAAAATAAGATTAGATGTAGTTCAAAGTTGCCAAAAATGAACAACATCCCTCCAATGACACGCAAATGTAAAATTCATAGGTTTTACACCCGAATTTGAAGCACTTCGGGTTACTAGTTGTGATGAAAATTTTACATCTTTTTCCACACTTTTTTTGCTGGGAACAAATTAAAAATTGGATTTATGTGAAACGTATTAAATTTTGTTGTTAATTTTTAGGTTAAAATATCTTGAAGAATGAAGAAGATATAACAGAGATGAAGGTGAAATAGACTTTCAGATGATATAACCGATTATATAAAAATAGGTGTCTTCGCGGTCTTTAGGATAAAATATCTTGAAGAAGGGAGAAGAAAAGTCGACTTTTGAGATGTAATAACTAATTATAAATATAAAAGTAAGTATCTCCGCGGTGATGATATAGCGTCTCAAATATGCCAAAAAGTGTTTTGACACGATATGTCGAAAAACTGATGTAATGGAGAAATTCTGTAGAAAAGTATGATGAAGTTTGATCTCTGGCTTAAAACTAAAACCCAAGTTTGAAATCCGACGATCTGTTGGACAAAATGTCATTAAACATTTAATGCTATTTTACTTAAAACGAAGTTTTTTGATTTATGTCTGTCTTGAAGTAAATGAGCGATATGAAGTAACTCACAACAACTCGCTTATTTACTGCAAGAGTAGTGCATGTTATACAGCAGTACTGAATTTCCCATGCCTGCTTTATATGCATATTTATTTACATATATAAATGCAAGCATTTACGA